CGAGAAAATAAAAAAGAAGTAATTCGATTCGGGTTTAAAAATTCTCTGAATAAAATAATTGAGCATTTAAAATTTATGTGTTGAGACACTAGCTCCGATATTTCAACTGGGTCTATCGATATTCAAAAATCCCGATTTGGAAAATTGGAGCAAGGAAATGAATCAGTAATGGACTATTCTGCAAAAGTAGAAAAATGTGATAAATTAGCTGGATACAATGAAAAATAGCTTAAATATTTTTTTCTTCATGAATTGTCACCCGATAACTAGATGGAAGCTAGAAGATGCGGATTAGAGCTTCCATTGGATGAGCTAGTAGAGAGGTTAAGCATATTGGAAAGACTTGCCAGATAAGTAAAAGAGTGTGCAATTATCCAAGCATTGGTTTTTTCGATTAAAGATATAATATACAACTTAAGAATGGCGTAACCAAATATTTTTGATTTATCAGAATTGCTAGAACAGATCTTATACTTTTTAGAAATTGATCAATCACTCTATTCCACTTTATTTGTTAGCCGTTTATGATACAAGTGTGACATATCACTACTATGGAGAAGAGTTGAGTTAAGAGGTAATGATATCTATTACAGTCATTATTTTTCACGTGAGTATAATTATTGTGGAGAATATCGAACACGGTTAGAAAGTTTCATAAAGTTAATATGCAGGAAGACAAAACCAATTTATGCCTCAAACCTGGAAAGCTTAAAAATTATATATTATCATTTAATTATATGCAAATTAATTGGATCTATCATAAATTACTGTTCAAATATAATTCATTTAGACTTTAAAAATAGTGTGGGCGTTAGTGATGAGACATTAATTAAAATAGCTTCTTCATACCTAAATTTAAAATACCTTAATTTATGGGATAATCGAATGACATCTGATAGAGGCTATGTGAGATTGCGCAAACATGCAATAAATTAGAATATCTAAATATTTCTTACTGTAGAAGTATTACTGATAAATCATTACTAACAATTGCTGAATCATGTCGTAATCTACAAGAATTTTATTTTAGTAAAGCATACTGGATTACTGATAAATCTATAAGCCATATCTTAAATTCGTGTACTAACTTGCGATCTTTAGACATTGCATTTAGCCGTGGAGAAATCAAAGATGCTGATATATTAATACAAGCACATCTCAAAATAGAATATCTCGATTTCGCCGCTATTATGGCTTTTCGAAACAATTCTCCTATTGTAGCTATTATCAGATCTTCTCCAAATTTAAAATGTTTTAATATTTCTGGTAATGATATCGGGGATGAGGTTGTTGAAGCAGTAGCTAATACATGCCATGAATTGGAATATCTTGATCTTGGAGGGTGTGGATTCATTACCGAACCATCAATATATAATGTTGTTCGTTTTTGTTCTAAACTTCAGCATCTTGAACTTGGATTTTGTGACATTTCCGATACAACCGTTAAAAAAATAGCTCGTTCATGCTCTAATTTAAAACATCTTGATTTGGATAGTTATAAAAATATTAGTAAAGAAGTTGTAAAATAACTTAATCCAAGCATACATATAGAAAATTACAATTCATCAAATGAACTGTCTGATTCTAAATTCAACTCCGCCACTTCCAATGATGATACTTCGGATTCTGACGATAATACTTTGGATTCTGATAATAATACTTCAGATTCTGACGATGATACTTCGGATTCTGATGATGATATTTTGAATTCTGATCCAAATGTCGACTCACAGAGTGAGGACCCACCTCCACTTATTCCAACCTTTACTGATATATTGGATGAAAACAGATTTATTTCTGAGTTTATTAACCATATCACATTAAATTCAGATACAGAGTTTCCTGCTTTGTAGACTGGATTAGAACGAAGTAATTTATTAAATAGTCTTATTCGAGCTACTCATCATTCATGGCAAGGGCTTTAGAGTGGATAAATATTTATTGTTAACTTTTTTCGGTAAAGATATATAATACATAATATAAATTATCATCATGAAAGTGAAAATAGTCAAAGCTAAAGTAGAGGGTCAAAAAGTTAATTGTCACCTTGAACCGGGTTTTCACAGTCCTTCCATATATAGTGATAAGCTCCTCAAGAAAATCGGAGACAAAATTAGCAGAAAGCTGACTTCCGAAGAGAAAGATAGTAAATTCATCAGAGAAAAAACCACAGCTCCACTTGGATTAACCGTAATCCCACTTACCTTTACTTCTAATATAATAAAAAATTATCGCCTTAGTAATTATGAATCCATCACAATCCCGACTAAAGTACTTGTAGAAAAATATGGCTCCAAACGCCTAATTTTATCCTGCTCGGTAATAATTGGTTCTATAGACGCAATAATGATGGGTTTCAAACGTATCTACCAGAAATAGTAACAGATGCAGAAAACGCTTTGGTAAGAACCACCTTACGTATTAAGGACCTAAGCTGGAAAGTTGACACAGCCAAAGTTAAAAGGAAGCCAAGGGTTAATGTATATGTTAATAAAAGGTCTATTCACGATTTTTACAAATCACTTCCTGGAAAATCGAAAGATGAGTCAAAGACTCGAGACTTTGTCTCTTCATTACCCCGCCAACTCAGATATTTCAGATAGCGATTCAAGCAATTTAAGTAATTCTTCCTCATCATATTTAGGATCAGAAGATAAGCACATATATAAGACTGTGGCTGTTATATACCCGAAGCGATGTCGCAAAGTAAAAAAAAAAAATTAATTACATATAAGCAAAATATAATAATCACGATACAATGGAAGAATATACTCAAAATTTCCTTGAACAATTCCTAAAGAATCATAATGTGTTAAGAAAATATATATCTCCAAAAAATCCATACAGGCGATGTATTAAATGCCGACGTGCGTATAGA